GCTTGTTCTGTTAATTAATTCTAGTACTTGAGGTACTAGATCTTGGCATCTTGGTTATATCTGCTCTTGAATCAGTGTTCTGATTGTCATTATTGAAATATCTTTTGTGGGCCTAATTTTTGGAATTTTATTACTTGTTTCATGGTTAACTCTTGTCTCTCAATTTTGATTGCTTGGTTAAATTTGATCTTGACTCTTGGTGAATGCCGTTTTGTTGCTAAATTTTTGAGGCATTCTACCTTGCACTCTTGTGTTCTAATATTCTTCCAAGCGTTCATATTTTCTATTGATTTTATTTTGTTGCAATTCTTGAGAGTCTTCCATGTCTTTTGATGGTCCTAGCTTTTAACTCTTGTTAATTGCTAAAATCTGTCTCTTGATTTCAGTTGCCTTGTTAAATATGATCTTGGTTCTGGTTAACCTTGTTGTGGCAGAATTTATAAGGCATCCATGCATTTGTTCACTCATTCATGATTTGTATATCCATTGGATGCTTATCCGTCTTTGATAGAGTTCAAGTTTTGTTGTACTCATCTGTACATCCATGCCATTCTTTGCCAACTCGTCTTGTGTTGGGTTCAAAGCGTAACCCCACAATTGTTCTTTTGTGGCTTTGGCAGGATTTATTTTTATTCCTTGTGCTTTCCGTATTACCCCAGCCTCTAGTAGCTCATTTTATGGTAAACCCTGTTAAGTAGCTAGTGTCCTGCTGTTATGTGTAGTTGTGATTTGATATCAGAGTGGCGCGGCGAAAGCATAGTAGGCCATTTTGTTCATGGAAAGTGAGTGGGGCATTTGTTTTGTCTTGGATTGTGTGAAGCCATTCACCACTCGAAATGGTCCTCAATTTGAGTTTTGGGGACAAAACTCCTTTTTAGGAGGGGTGAGTGTAATATCCCAAATTTTCGGGAATATTTAAGTGTAAGTTAAGGATTTGATTGTGGAAAAATATTGTTTTGGGCTTAAGAGCCAAAATGTCCAAACTTGAGGGACTTAAAAGAGGAGAATTTGGATAAGGATGGCTTATTTCTTTTCTCCCTTTTCCTCTTTCTTCTCCAGCCCGTTTCTGCTCTTGTCTTCCCGCTGCAACCCGAGAGGAAAAAAAAAAAAAAAGGAAACCCAGCCATGCCTTGAGGAAACTGGTAGAGAGCTTGATTTTTCCCTTATTTTCTTGTCCAAGAACCTAATTTAGAACCCAGAAATCTCGCCCTCTCTGCAGAAACCCAGATCTGGTCGGTTCTCCCCTCCCCTGTCCGTGAGCTGCAGCTTGTGGGTGGGTGATTTCTGGGCATGTTTTCGGTAAGAACAGCCCCTAATCCCTTTGTTCTTGCTTGAAGTGGCTTGGGTTTACTTTAATTGCTCTTGTTCCTCCAATTTTTGAGGTAGGCCGTGAGCTTCTTCTCCAAATTGCCGCCGGCTTCTCTTCCCCCCCCTGCAGCTCCGGTTTTAGCTGGAGAATTATGGTATGTTGACAGCCTTTTAAGGCTTAAATTAGCCATTTATTTGCTGCCTTGTGTGTGTCCGAAATTCTGTAGAAAATGGGGAAGAATTTGATAGCTCTAAGATGAGATTTAAGCATTAATTTAAGTGGGATTTATGTGACAGAGTGTTAATTGATTGCTGTGATTTTGGAGTGAAATCCCGTGAGATTAGCTAGTGTTTTGGCCAATTTGTGGGGTGGAGTTACTGTTCACGTCGAGGTCACTGTTCACCGGTTACTGTTCACACCCCGAGGGCCAACATTTAACGGGAATTTAAGTGATTAGTTTGTGATATGAGAATGATTTTGGAGATATTTGATCATGTGGAGATTGATTGAAATAGCATTGTGATTAGGAGTGATCCTAATGATGATTTCAGTTTGAATTTGTGATGATCCGGTATTGATTCTCGAAATGTTTTGATTAGGTTCTCGATCGTTCTGTCAGTTAGTGCGTGAATTGAGTGCTTGAATTGAGTGCTTGGTTTTATCCGAGTGAGGTAAGTAAATTTATGGTAATGCCCGTACTGTTTTATAAGCATGTTTTGATTTGTTTTTGAAGTGGTGGCGGGACTAAACCCGTTTTACACGAGTATAACTGATTTGAAATGATATTTTTATGCCTTTCATGAAATTGAGCATGCCTACTTGAAATTTGAGTGACTGTCCTGATGATCTGAAAGTGATTGTGAATCGTGATTTTCCTGTTAACTTCTGCCTGTTTTGTCTCCGATGTGGTCATGTTATTCGTGACCCCGCTAGTGGGGGAGGTATAAACGCTAGCACATGTCGACATGTAGCGATAGAGCCGGTTCGTTCAACCCAGCTAGTGGGGGTTATACACCAGCAAATCGTGGCCCTAATAGTGGGGATTATACACTAGTATTCCTGTTTGCCTGCCAGTGGGAACTGGCCATGACCTATAGAGGAGACGTCTATTTCGTGCCCGTACTATATCCGTTTTCGTGATTGTACTTGTTGGCATGCTATATGTTTAAATAAGGGGCACTCCATATTTACTTACTGAGTTTATCTCATAGTTTTTCTTTGTCCACCATTTCAGGATGTGAAATCGAGGACGGGGAAACCACGGGAAGTGACGAGTTAGGAAGCTAGCCATTTCGAGATTGCGCATAGATGTAGAAACAAATCATGATCTTGTATTTGGAGATTTTATGATATGAGAGAGAATTTTAAAGATTTGATCTTCGGATTTTGATGGTATCAGAGTGTGAATTTGATAAGTTCCGAGCCTTGTGCACTTGTGGGACCCGTTTCACGAGTGCACGGCGTCTGTCGCGTCTCGAAATTTGGGTTTTGGGGCGTGACAGTACCTGTGATTTTGATGATTACAAAACAAATTTGAGTGACTAATTGGTTTATTTAAGTGTGTAGTTAAGTTGCTAAAAGATTGCGTGTAAACTTGAATTGCACTAAAAATAGACCAAAAGGATTCAAAGTGTGCAAAGAGTTGGCTCTTGAAAGCTGCAGTCGGCTCTGGTGAAATGGAAGTGCAGAGTGCCGACTTTGGAAGCTGCAGCCGGCTCTATAGGCAAAAATTTGAAGACCATTGCTTGGCGCGCGCAGAGAAAAGACGCAAAGCCGGCTCCAATTTTATTGCTGGCTGTGAGAGTGCATTTAATGCACAACGGTCGACTCTTTTGAATGTATTTAAAATCGGAATTCCAAAGCCGGCTCAAAGTTTTGCAGCCGGCTCTCGAGGAAAACAGAATGGCCTGCAAACTCGGATAGCCGGCTCTAGAAAGCTAAGCCGACTCTCTTGACAAACTTGCAGCTCGAGTTTTGCGTCCTGCAGAGCATTTAATGACCTCCAACGGCTAGTAACGACTATTTTCGAGCAAGGGGGTATAAATATGGGTGGTAACAGATCTGAAGAGGTTAAGAGTGTATTGTATTGAATATCTTTAGCTACCTACATGAGCTTTAACTTGAGTTTTTGATCTTTGAGAGATCTTTGTTTGTAATGCTCTTCTTGTGCTATTAGTGAGTGATCTTGGGGGTGTATTGATTCCTTCAAGAGTGATCTGTAGAGAGGATCTGTAGAGAGGATCTGTAGAGAGGATCTTTGGGGTTTAAGTGTAAAGGGGCGAGATTTGAGAGAAACCTTTCTTCTTGTAAAGGATTGAGTGGCT